AATAAGGAGAAGAATACCCCCACTAAATCGAGCAGCCCAGGAGGGTTCACTTCGAGAGGATGTTGACTGACTATTTGAAATACTAGAGAGACTCATCGCTGCCCAACAGGCCCGAGAGGAAAAGAGGGAGCTACCTGACCCTTCCTCACTGCTACAGTTTGAGCCACCCCTGCAGCGGGAGGATCCTGAGCCACCACGGTATGACCCTCTTCCTTGAAAATACCATCCGACACCACCATAGTATGGTCTGGTGCCCCAACCGCATCATCCGGCACCACCACAATATAGTTCGGTGCCCCAATCACATCATCTAACACCACCATAGTATAGTCCGGTGCCCCAACTGTATCATCCAACACCACCACAGTACAATCCAGTGCCTCTATCATATCATCCAGTACCACCACAGGGTCATCCGGTCCCTCCCCAGCACAATCCAGTCCCTCTTTCACGGAATCTAGTTCTACTCATGATAGACGCAGGCTATATTGAGAGATACAAAAGATTAAATTCATCTACTTTTACAGGGATATCATTCTTTGAAGAGACCGAATACTGATTAGCTGAGACAGAGAAGGCTTCCACGACTTTTGGAGTGGTTCCTGAATAGAGAGTTATACTCGCCACCTACATGCTGGTGGGAGAGGCAAGTCGCTGGGGGCAACTCAAGCAGGCCACCCTGCCCGTTCCAGTCACTTGGGAACAGTTCTTGATGGCCTTCAATGTAGAGTACCTTCTAGAGCATTTACGATGCCTGAAGAAAATAGAGTTTGGTCACCTGGTCCAAGGTCATATGACTGTGTCAGAATATATCCGAAAGTTCCTAGAGTTGGTTTGGTATTCCCCTGAGAGCATGATGGATTCTTACTAATCTAGTGTAGCTTACCCTTTTATTAACTATTTCATATCAAAATAATCAGAACCCAAATCCCGATCAATAAGAGGGTTGTGAATAAGTTCACCCTCTGAACTCTCTTCAGAAGCTAGTAAAGGTCGTCCTAAAATGCTCATTTATTTACCTTTTGTTTATTTATTTGATTTTCGTTTGTTCTTATAAAAGAGACATTTTCGTAACCCTGTTGGGCATTCTAAATTAATGTGTAAGGAATATAAACCCTAAACTTTATTATTTTGCTTCTATATTTAATTTATGACTTTATTTCCACATAAGTTTCGGGCCTTTACACTTTAGATTCAAGTGATCAGTGCTAAATATCTTTTGAACTGGAGCATGTGGGATATCGAGCCTACCCCAGCTTGAGGCTTGATTATGTGGAAGCACGTGCTTGAACATATTAGGAAGTTCAAAGTTGAGATCAAGTGAAATATTAGTAATGGGAGACTTATTAATTTTTGAAGTGATACTTGGGTTAATGATAAGCCTTTACTTTTCCATCCTCTAAACTTTATTGTTGATGTGAATTTGAAAAAAAAAATAGTTATCTCCTATGTTAATCAAAATGGCTCTTGGAGATGGAGTGAGTGTTGAACCTTTTTTCGAGTTTAGTTTAACTTAAAATTTGCCAATGTTAAGATCAATACAAATTCCATAGAGTATGACAAATCCCCCTTGATCCACTAGAGTGATGGTAGGTTTTCGATTAAGTCAGTGTACTATTTATTAACTTGCCTTAGGAGATCTCCTCATGAGATGTGATGGGGAATCATTTGGCCTCTTCTTGTCCTAGGAAAAGTTTATCAATTCATATGGCTCCTAAGTTTAGATCATCTTCTTATAAACGTTAAAGAAAATGTCGTAACTTAACTAGAAAAGACCAGTGCCCTCGGTGTCACATTAGGAAAGAAGACATCCTACATGCTATCCACAAACTACCTCATGACAAGACGACTATAGAGAAGTTTAATTGATTTAAAGTTTTCTTATGTTTTTTTCCTCTCTATTTAACAAATGATCGAGTGAAATTTATAAACAAATGTTAGTACCCATGACATTTATAGTAAAAAAAATATCTTTCCTAACACAATGTGGATTATATGGAAGAAGAGGAACAATGTCATTCTTTGAGAATGATGATCATGGTGAGACCCTTTTAACATTTATAGTAAAAAAAATATCTTTCCTAACACAATGTGGATTATATGGAAGAAGAGGAACAATGTCATTCTTTGAGAATGATGATCATGGTGAGACCCTTTTAATCACACATCTTGTTCAGATGGTGCTAGATTACGAGATTGGTTACAACAGTCCACAAACCCATTTCATTTAAGAAGACCCATATAAATTTCCCTGGGTGGGATAAAGAGCTTCCCTTTTGGTCTAGTTTAAGCTTAGTATCAACAGTTTTGCTTGGGATGACCTTAGGTATGCTAATACTGGTGGCCTCATTAAGGACAATCACGATTAATATGTTGTTGGCTTTATGTGCAACCTTAGTATTAGCAATTCTTTATTAGCTGAAGTCCACGGGGTTTTATAAGGCCTCAAGCTCACATAGAGAAAAAGGATAAGAAAGCTTATTATTGAGGTTGGTTTTTTATATGTCGAACAACTCCTACATAATCATGATCAGTGATGTTACCCAATCTCAAGCTTAAATGTCCTGATTAAAGTCATTTTTAATTTGAACTGAGATATTCAAGTCTTGTATATCTATAGAAAAAATAATATTTTTGTTGATCGTTTGGCATTTTGGACCCATCACATTTTGGTAGGTTTTGCCAAGGTCCATATGCACTAAAAAACCTTTGTGTCTCATCTACGTTAATTATTGTGATACTGTTTGGATCATTTAATAAGACATTACTACTGTTTTTTGTGTGTGTGTGTGTTTTTCTTGTTTGTTTATAATAAAAAAGGAGAAACTTAAAAATCAATATCCTAATACTAATAAATGAATTTGGAATGTTATGTGTATTTATTTTGCAATTATGATTTTTATTTTTTTAATGAATTTAGTTAAATACCATAATCAAATTATAAACTGTAAATTGGGTATTGCCGATTAAGCAATATCAACACATATTAATTGATCGAATCAATTAATTAGCAATTTGAGTTTGAGTTGAAAACTAAGAAATTAATGTAATGGAATGAGATATACCATTTGATTTAAAAGAATAATGATGAGATTTGAGTTGCCCAAGTTTTTTTTTTTTTTTTTTTTTTTTTTTTTTGGTTTTTGGTGGATAATTATATATTAAAAGTCAAATTAAGTTTTGTGATGTGTGATCATAAATTTTGTGTTTGTTTTGGGATAAGCCAGCAATTGCTTTCTTCATAAAATACCATAAGATTGCAATCCATGCAATATGAAGTGCATGTTGAACACACGACAAGTTTTCCAGGCATACACTGAATGATTCAAATCACATTTTTACAAGTTAAAATAATAATAAAATAAAATAAAAACATTATTGCTTTAATATTTCATTTTAATATTGTCTTAATTATATAAGATAAAAATTATACAAAATTAATAAAACTATATTACTTATTATTATTATTATTATTTTGAGAGCTTTAAGCACATTTTGCACCACTATATGCCTCCTTAATATAAATTCTCTTTCTTTAAAATGTGAAAATATAAAAAAAAATTGCAGCCATATATTTCTTCTTTGCTTCAGGAACGAAACAGAAGGTCATCTCTGAAAGTGATTTGAAGAGGATACCCAACAACAATGGAGGGGGAAGAGGGCTAAAATTAAAATAAATGGCCAACTCATTGAAAGAAGGAAACAGGAATTATGTACAAGTAAATAAGTTTAGTTTGCATGGGAGAAGAGAATGAATTAGGAAACTACATGACATGTACACTATGTACATAGAAGCAATGTAACGCTACCAGCCTGCCTGTCTTGAGCTGTGCATTTCAGTTGCTTATCTCAAAGTACTTGGGATCTGATGGATAATCATATTCTACCCGCAACTGCAACGATAAAAAGACGATGCATCATCGCTAGAGTAAAATTAGGAAACCGAAGCTAATCCTCCTCTTATACATACATTATATAAATTTGGGAAACTGAAACTTGGCAGCAGTTTTCAGTAACTAAACAAGATCATTTCATGATGTCTTCAAAAGATATTCACATGGAAAGTTAAAGGCAATTTTAAGGTGAAAAGCTAGTATAAATAAAATTAGATTGTCAAACAATAGTAGAGGTTGAAAGTTAGTATCAACGAAATTAGATTGTAAAACAATAGTATTCTCCTTCTGTTGTTAGTGCATACTTGACTAACGCAGAGAAATTAATCTAGAAAAAGACATATTAAAGGATGCTTTTGGTTGATTTTCTATTCAGCACAAATTTTTTTTCTGAAAAAAATAATCATCTTATAAATGGATACCAACACATAAAAGTATCAGAATTAGGACCTGGCTAAGACATGAACCCAAATGGGAACTACGAGTACGAGTTGCATCAGTAGATTTGATCCATGAATCAAACATAAAAACTACGGTTCAATTTTTGCATGAAAGTTATGAATCTGTTTCTATATATCAACAGACATTCTAATAACTATACTAGAAAAGAGCAAACATGAACCAAGCGTGGCAAAAGAACATGACCCTGCATAATCATTGATGCATCAACAGAACTTCTCTATCAAACTTTCAAAAACAAAATATATAATTAACTAGAAAAGAATATTTGATGCTTCCCATTAGATTCCCTCTTAAATCGACCATGTGAAGGGGAATCACACTATATTTAGTGCAAGAAGCACAGAATTAACATGCTTCAATTGATTCACAGAACACAACCTCCCCATTGGGAAACAACTTTTACATTATATCCCTTACTTTCAACTACCTTTTAAAAAAATTCACATTTCCAACATCAATGTGAACATCTAAGCTTTTCCATCTTGAGAAAAAAAGAGGAAGAAACACAGAAAAATATTGACAACTCTTCATTCTGTTCAATTGAAAAGAAGAAAATTGATCCAAGCTCAATAAATGAGAATACAACGTGAATTTCCACGAATGCAAAGATGACAAAATCCAGTTGCTATATGCTACAGGTACACTAGAAGCTCAAGACAGCTCAAACAACAATGCAACATGACACAAGAAAGTGATATGCAGAATGAAGAATAAATAATTTACCTTGCCTTCATCTGTGTCTGAATGTCGTTGAGGGAAAACCACTCTCATATCACCATATAAGTAGAAGTGTCGCTGTCCTTTGTTGTCCATTTCGTTTGCTGCTGGTGCAGATAAGGGATCAGATTCACTCCTCTGGAGAGACCTGAAAGATTTCTTGGGGAAAGGGCATAGAAAACGGAGGTGAAGAGCATAGCGCAGAGCACCCGCACTGGCAGTGTTCTCATTGACCTTAGAGCTAGAAGGGCTATATACAGATTTGCTCACATCCACAACACTAGCATTTGACCTATTTTCCTCAACAGGAAAATTTAGATGTTCGTCAACATTCACTTCACCTGAACAATTGGCAGAATCCTCAAAATGGCTGCAGTAAATAGCTTCAATATGTTCCTTTTCCTGTTTAGGAGACTCTAGATGTAACATATCACCAGTAATTAAATTGTCAGGCTCATTCCTCATTGGTAGAACATGGCCAATATTGATTTCAGTTTTTACGTCAGATTCCTTTCTCTGCCCATTCCCTGACGTAGAAGTTGGCTTACAAGAGGCTAAAATGATCCTTTGCCGCAGAAAAGTCTATTGGAAAATGAATCAGGTTCAAAAAGTCACTATAGGAAACCCAATAAGTACATAAGAATAAAATTAAAAATAGACGAAAAAAGTAGCAGCATTAAAATTTATAAACAAAAATCTCCATTTCCTCTCCTACCATCAGCTAGGAATCTTCTAACAGAAAGTTGAATTGTTTAGATTACTTTTTTACTTCATTTACATATGATAAGGATCATAAATTGCAGTTAACTAAGCAACACAAGGAGTTGAATCTCAAACAAGAACTCCAAATGAACAATCATATGGAAATTGTCAATTTTATACCATATTGAGTAGATAACGATGAACCCAAAATGGCCAAATGCATTATGTCCTAAGGAGTTGTTCTGTACAATCCTCCACACCTGATGCACAATTTACACAATTCATGCTTTGACAGCAGAAGGTGAATTTCTTTTTAAGCTTCCATCGCTTCCATAGGAATGAAATGTTAAACCATTCATATAAACTGCCCTCTGATATTGCTTCTTTTTCAAACTTGAAAGGAACGACGTTCTTATCATCTTTATGTCTTGTTGGCAATAACCTTTCTTATGTTTCCAAAACACCATGAAGAAATCAAATACTTCATTGATAACAATATGGAAGAAATGGAGAGAAGGTGATTCTGAAGAAATTTGAGTACAGTGATAGCATATTAAATTGATGCCTTATAAACCAGACAGGCGCTTTGAAGATTAGCCAGAATCACATCATGCGAATGAAATACTAGTAAACTTAAAAAGAATCATGCATTCTTTGAAGTTCATTGACATCTAACCTTGGTACCAGCTGGCATGTCACTCAAATCATAGTTACATAGGAAAGTATGGATAGGTGTCTTTTCCGGATTGCTAAGAACCTGCACAAGACCAATTTAGTCCCGCAGTCTAGAGAGCCAACTGACTGCTACTAGAAATACTTTTTAATGCTAAAATAACCATAAGTCAAGTGTACCTTAAATGCAAAGCTTTAGCTTGAAAAACCAAATATGAAAGAATTAATTACCAATTGTATGCAGCCTTTGACAGGTATACGCAACCAGCTCTTTTCTGCTTTTGAATCATTAGTTCTATTGCTCCTCCTCATTTTTGGACCTCTACACTTGCTAGATGGGACATGCCTAGCTAGATTTATGGATGAATAATATAACAAGTAGTTATCTCCATCTACACTAGTTACTGCAAATGAAAGCTTCTGTGACCGTGGTGAGAAATTTCCTCCGGTGACATTGAGGACAGCAAGGAAACCATTGATTCTCTAAAACCAAAAAGTTGCAAAGCCATGAATAAAACACATTTTAAAGCATTAGATCTGGAACATGAAAATCACTTTAGCTAACATTATATAACAGCTAACCTGACAAACTTTTCCAGATAATAAATGTCCAGAGAGCAAGGACTCCTCAAATGAACCAACCAAGGACCTTCTAACAGGCAGTTCTCTAAGAGTTCTTGTCAATTTTCTACTTAGAGAAGTATGGTGTGAATCCTGAACCTGGTGCTGAATCATGCCAGAGCTAAAATCAGGAAATGACTTGCATGATGTTTGAAAGTCCTCATCTTTCTGTGAAGATAAAAGACCATGGACAGTTCCATCAAGAGAATGTTTCATATCCTTTAAGGTTATATATTTGTCATCAAACCTTTTTGTGATATCCTTGCTTCCTCCAGCTAATTTTCTTCTTTCTATAGAGTGTGGACCAAGTGGAGACAAAAATAGGGAAGGTGTTACTGTCTCTTGTGCAGATATTACCATGGCCCCAGTTTGGAAACTTTCTTCAGTTGTTTCTTCACCATAATTATTTCTAGGTGAAGAAACTGAAGTATGCTCCACCGAAAGGCCATCAGTGCAACAAATAGAGCTCTCCCAACAATTATCATCTGGTGACTTTCTCCATTCTGAAAAATAAGATGCAGAGGAAATAGGAGTATTAATAAGACTAGAGTTTCCAATATGAGCTTTCTTATTCTCTTGTGAGAAAGAGATATTCCTAATACCATTTCCTCCCTGAAAGTCACTGTCAGAAACTCCAGCATCAATGTCCAGTACGTCACCATTAAATTTTCCATGAAGAAGCATTTTATTCAAAGGAGACAATAATCGTTTCCTGGCAAGTGATCCATTTATATCTTTTGCACTACCGGTGATACTAACTATAGTAGATGAAGTCTGACTTCCACGGAATACATTCACAGGTGAATGTAATGCCCCTGATTTCACACTTAAAATCCTAGGAACATGCATCTGAAAATTAGTTTCAGTTTTACGAGTTAACCAGCCATTCTGTTCCATCTTCAAACTATGTATATTTGGTCTACTATCTCTATGAATATTTGAGACACTGTGATCCTTTGGAAATTCTCCAATATCTTTCCTTTGGAAGTCTCCAATAGATGAACATGGCAAATCCACTTGCATTCGATTACCTAAATTCCCTCCAATTAAATCACAGCTGCTAATAGCCACCATTCGAGATGGGTTCTGTACGAATGTGCACAGAGATGCTGCAACTTCCTCAGCAATACCACCAGATGATACTTGAGGCAAGCCCATCACTACACGTAAGCTCCAGTTCTCCCAAATTTTCAAGGATCCAGTTATTTTACCTCCTCTATGCACTCTGTTCCTTCTCTCTCTTCTAACTGCTCTTGTACATAAAAATCAATTGATGCCCAATGTCTAATTTGCAACAAGGTCTCTAACCTTATTTGTGCAATATTCAAAAACACCATCTAATTCTAAATGCACCACCATGGATGACACAATCTATCTGCCAAATGCATCATCCTTAAAACCACTAGTCATTGTGTCAAGTGGTAAATTGGTTGTGACCCAAACAGAGATATAGCAGATCACTGCATCTGATTTCCTTGCCAGTTGTCGATCCATTGTTCTCCAGAAAGCTGTGCAGTATCCTGAAATTATAGTTAAAAAAAAGTCAGTTGTGCAAGTTTATGAAGCTGAGAACTATCAGAATGACGAGATCATATGGTTGATTCGATTTGTTTCTCTTTTGTTGCTTATCTTAAAAACAAGAATTTACCATTATCTTAAATATGCAGTTGCATTAATCAAATTATGATTATGCAATGCAGAATTATGCTTTAGTTATATTGTTTTCAATGAGCAAAACAACTGTATATCGCTTGCATAATAATCTAAACACAGCTGTAACCATGTTATTTTGAAATCAAATTTGATCATGTATCTGATTCGCAAGAGACTAATACCATATTCAGTATACAAACTCATGAATATATTCTTAAGCTTTCCAACGAGAGAGATGATTTGGAAACAACGTGATTCACCAGAAAACCAGCACGATGACAATTTTTGGCAGACTAAAAAAAATAAATGAGGATGAAATTGGAATCAGAACTTCCATTAAAGATATTACACGAGGAAAAAAAAAAAATTGAAGTGCAAAATCCTAACAAAACCCAGAAACTTCTGTAATCAGCTAAATTCCAATCAAATTCACGTAACTGAGAAAGAAAAAACGTAAAACCCACACAAATTCCTTGTACTCTGTTCTCTCAGCCAATTTTTTCCAGGCAACCAAACATGAACTTGAGGGGAAAAAAAAAAAAAACAACTTAAAGAAACCGCCATCGATAGAATCAAGGCCAATCCTCCAAAATCTCATCGAAGACAAAAGAAAAGGAACCCAGAACTAAAATGGACGCACCATTAAGCTCGTGATGATACACAACATAATAGAACAAACAATTCTGAAACTTTACTTGCTTATAATTCACAAAAGATGAAAAGTACAAGAGCAATCGGAAAAAGAAACAAGAACAACGAATGAAATCATTAGAAACCCGAACGTTTTGAGTTTCTTAATCTGCAACTTTTTTCTTTTTCCCTTCTCCTTCTGGTGGCATCCGTTCCTTTTATAGTGTTGGGGGCATTTCCATCTAATCAGTGTAATTTACCCTTACCGTAAACTTTTTATTTTGGTGGGTAGTGATTTTTGATGAGCCTGAAAAAACCATTTAAAAGAATTTTCTTTGGTTAACCAGAAAATGTGGCTGCTCGTATTTGTGGTTTTTTGAAATTCAATATAGACCCAAAAAAAAGGAAAAAAAGAAAAGGAAAAACACTGAGTGCTGGGAAAATCCACATGCCACTTTCTCTGTGAGTTCAAGTTGCGGCTCTCCTTTTATTCCCTTTTACACGTCGCTTCTTTCTTTCTTCTCGTCTATTTCTTTTCTTAATTTTATGCTGTGTTAGTGTGTCTTTATTTATTTATTTATTTATTTTTATTTTTATTTTATGAATATCCAATTATCATAAGAAATTCAAAAATTAATCAAAGTTTTACTAAAAAAAATATCAATGGAAATTAAGATAATAATCTTCAATAAGTTTTATGATAATCAAATACATTTTAAGTGACAATTATATTTAAAAAGTATAATAGCAATATGTTGATAGTTTTATACTTGAAATACTAATTAGAATAAACAACTCAAATTATTAAAATATATATTTATTGTATTTAAAATTAAGTTTTAATTGACAATATGTGATAATTAAAAGATATTAAATTAAAAAAAAAAAACCCTTCAGTTAAATAATCAACTAATGTGGTTGTAGAATTTTACCATTACTATATTATTAATCTTAGTTATTATATAAGTTTTTACATGATATAAATATGAATAGATATACAATGTCAAAAAAAAAAAAAAAAAATCACAGGCAAAAAGAAGCAATGAAGAAATTCTATATCTATATTGATATATTTTTTTACTAATTTTTATTTAAAGCTAAAATAATTTGAGCTTCACAAAATCAAGATGGAAACTAATCTCACTCGGTTTTACCTCACACAATTTTCAATCCTATTATATTAGTATCTTATTAAAAACAAATAAGATAATAAGAAAGAGTTGAAAAAAAAAAAATCAATTAATTTGGAAAACATAAATGATTAGATTTAATATGACAGGAGTGAGATTTGCTTTAGGTAATTGAAAGAAGAGAAGAATCATTATAATATATTTTTAAATATCAAAAAATTTGTATATATATATATATATTTTTGTAATTAAAAAAAATAATAAAAATTAAAACCAATATAGTTTATTCCACTACAAAATGGATTTAAGTTTCCATAATACTTTTTTTGAGTATCTTTTGAAGTAAAAACTTTAACTTCTTTATTTAAATTTTTATAAAATAAATAAACTACTAAGTATCTAAATCAAAAGTACAAAATGATAATTAAAAGTGGAGCATCATCGATACGCTTTTCTAAGCTAACCTGATTCTTTTGATTTCTCTCCTCTCACTAATATTTTCCTTAATTTTAGTATTAATAGTTTAATAATATTATTAATTTTAATCTTAAAAAGATCTAATGCGCTGTGCTATTCCATTAAGATTAAAAACAAAAATCATATTAATTTTAATACACAAAAATTTCTTTCCTCTAATTTTTTTATTTTATAATTTATTATTATTTTTAAATCGTCGTAAATTTTAATTTTTTTAATTATAAAAAAATATAATTTGAATCATTCACATTTTCTAAGCATTTGTGTTTATGCACTACTATAATTTTTTTTTTTTAAAAAAAAAATATTTTCTACGCTCTCTCTCTTTCGTCTTTCCTTTTTTACTCTGGTAAACTTTGAATTTGGTTTTCAAATAGCGGTTTTTTTTTTTTCGATTTTTATGGATTTTTAAAATTTTCAAATCACACCCCTAAAAATACTCGAGCATTTAATATCAGCTTACTGGATTTTACTCCCTCAAAATTCTATTAAGCTGTTTAATCTTCTCCTCTCTCTCTGAGACGCTATGGCATCAGGATCAGTTTAGATAGAGAGAGAGAGAGAGAGAGAGAGAGAGAGAGATAATAAAGAGAGACACTTCTTTTTTTTTTTCTCCTGAAAAATAAATTTTCTTTTGCTTCAAGTTTAGGGTTTCCTTTATTTCTTTGATCGACCGAAATTGCAGAGAAAAAACCGATATGATAGACTTCAGTCGCGTGCAAAAGGAGTTGCAGGAATGCAGCAAAGACATCGAGGCCTCCGGCATCAAAGTCACCCCAAAGTCCGACAATCTCTCTCGGTTAATCGGAACTATTCCCGGCCCCATGGGCACTCCCTACGAGGGCGGCAGTTTTCAAATCGATATCTCATTGCCAGGTCCGTTCTTCGCTCTCCTTATGCATTGCGATACGCGGGCATCAATGAAATTCGTATCCAATTTTCATTCTGTTTTCTCGTTCATAAATTGTTCAAATTAACTTGTGTTGGGCAGTTTCCTGCTGGGTTTCCTTCAAATTAGTATTTTTCCTATGGGGTTTTGTTGTGTGGGCTTCAAAAGTAAACCAAGTTCTTTGACATTCAAGAGAGGTCTTTGTTTATTCGTGAAAAAGGGTTATAACGTGATCCTGATTTCTTTGTTTTGAGGTGATAATGCTCTTTATTGGTTTGTGTATTAGCACCTATAAACAAAATTGTTCGTACAATAGGTGGGTTGTAGGATTGGAGATCATACCCGGTTAATAAACAGGTCCTGGCATTCAAAACCAACGCATTTGGTCAATAACTACACTACTAAAGCTGAGCTATTAACTCTAGTCATTCCCCTGTTTATGCTTCTTTGATTAATTGGGTTAAGGTTACCTACTTTCTAGTCTGTTTTTCGTTTGTCTATAATGCACGAATACTCAAACTGACCATCAGGTCAGTTCTGTTTGAATCAAACTTGATTTCATCATATTTTGTTCTCCTAGAGGAACTCAATCAAAAGAAAATTGCTCAATAATCGTCTTAACTGGAATTTTTTGGCAACGAACTTTTTTTTTTTTGCAGATGGATATCCTTTTGAGCCTCCCAAAATGCAGTTTGCAACTAAAGTTTGGTATGAAGAAATTCTGCAACATTATACTTGTTTATGCAGTTATCATTAATTTTACTGTCTATATAATATACAGAATTATGTGAAATGTGGTAATGCATTCAATTGTAGAATATAAGGGTATGGATATTATTGTTATTTAGAATTATACGGTTGGAAATGTGTTTCTTTTTTCTCATCAGTATAATGATACAAAAGCTATATTGTAAGGAGTTGGATTGGGAACACAACTTTTTAACAGAATTCCTGTTTGTAGTTTCTTTTCCCTCAGAGATATGAAGTCCGAAGGAAAAGTACAAACATAGAATAAACGGTTAAATTGGTTTCACCTTTCTCGCACACACCCTCCCCAAGCCATCATGCTTGTGCTCTTGCTTCTCGATACAGAAAGAGAAAATACAACACAGATTTTTATGGTTGAAAACTGAAATCTTATCCTGGTTTCCTGTCCTTACCTTGGTAAGCAAAAATTTAAATTACTTGTGGGAAGGGTTTCGAACTGCTTTCCGCCCAACATATATCTCAATTATGTTGGGAGAAACATGAAGCTGGAAAACCTACTTTGTTATGTGGTTGATTGATATTTAAATTAGATTAGTGGAGCATGCTATTGTTTTATCTTTTTATCAAAAGAAGGATAAATTTGTGGAGTCAGTAGGGTTCAAAAGATTTTACCTTGCCACTTTCTAATGTGAATGGAGTTCATGGTTATGCCATAAGTACAATTTCAGACTTTATAGTTTCTCAATCAAAGTTGATCAATGGATTGGAACTTTGGTCTTTGAGTTGGCCTGTGGGTCTTTGGCCTTTAGATTGTTCGATGCATCAATTAAAAAATATATATTACTTGATGGATAATGATATATAACTTGTTTATGAGATATCAGATGATTGAAAGGTATCTTTTTCTTTGATTTCCCTATGAAGGCACCCCAATATCAGCAGCCAAAGTGGGGCCATATGCTTGGATATCTTGAAAGACCAGTGGAGCCCCGCCCTTACCCTGAAAACAGCTCTTCTTTCTGTCCAAGCACTACTTTCTGCTCCACAACCTGATGACCCTCAAGATGCTGTAGTTGCGCAACAGGTTTAGCTTTGCCTGGTGTATTTTCTCAAATATCAGATGTTTGATTTAGTACCTTCTTTAGATTAAGTCTCATTTTATCTTAATCGCCGCCAGGCACAGTTTCATATGTCTCTTGTAGCAGCTTAGTTACATTGTCGTCATTACAAATCATGGTTTTCTTTTGCTTATTGCAGTACCTCAGAGATTATCAGACATTTGTTGGCACGGCTCGCTATTGGACGGAAACTTTTGCCAAGACATCATCTCTAGGGGTGGAGGAAAAGGTACTCAGATTCTTGGTGTTTCTTTTATTTGCTTGTTTCTAAACACATGAAATGAAGGGGCGTTCAATTTCATAAAATTTGTCATAATTTATGACAAGTAGAATGTTCGGTTATATCTTTTGCCAGCTGATGGAACATTTAATCAAAGAAAACTGTTCGATAACTTAGGGGGCAGTAGATACTGCTAAACATTTGATTTATAGTCTGCCACCGACAGGTGGCCATTGCCTTGATTATTTGGGTAATGTTTTATCTAGTTGACTGAAGCTTTGCTCCTGGTGTTGTGAGTTTAGCACTAGCAACAAAGATTTTCTTGTACTGTTTGTAAGGAACCTAAATAGTACAATGTCATTTGTTGTGGGGTAGTCTCTCAGTTACTATTCATCTTGGGCTTTCTTCTCCTTAACCCATCATATATTAGCAAGGTGATGGCAGGCAGTCTTGCATCTGTATACTTTTCAGTATGCTTGTCTGGGCTCCTCCTCTTGCTTTTTCAATGGATTTTACACATAAATATAAATTATTGTTTTCTGCATTTCAGGATTCGTAATTTCAATTTGTGCAATTAGGTTTACATTTGTTGTATTGTTGTAGGTCCAGAGACTCGTGGAAATGGGTTTTCCTGAAGGACAGGTTAGGAGCATCCTGGAAGTTGTTGGGGGTGATGAAAATCTGGCACTGGAAAAGCTTTGCTCTGGCTAAGGATATGGAGCAGATGCCAATTGTTTTGGCACCTATTTAGCACCTTGAAAATGATGTAAGACACAAACGGTTGATCTGAATATAAGGTTTTCTAATTTAGTCTAGTGATAACTGGTGTCACTTTCACAGTGTCTTCTATATTCTTCTGAATATCGTCTCTTCTGATGCCATTAAATGCACAGCTAATTGTCCATCAATTTGCAGGTGCTAGTTAGCTACTTAGATGAAATCTGTTAACTTGTGTTGGATAGGGATTGGTTGATGGACCAATTAACTTAAATTGCGGGAATCCAATTTCCTCAAAAAGCAATATTAGATTTGAAGGCAATGTAGACAACAAACTACAATCTGTCACAATTGATACTCGATTCATATACTGAATCGGACTGCATCTAGACGTTTGCTTAAATTAGAAGAATTTTAGAAGTTGCAATCACATCATATAAAATATGGTATCAAAATAGTCTGGAAGAATTACATCACATCACAATTTTACAACAGAGTTCCTGGTGGTGATAAGAGAAGGTTATGGACAGACTAGTAGAGGTTTAGCAAAATAATGGAAGAAGACAATAGTAATAACAGTTGCTTCTCATCTGCATTGGATCTTATTTGCAAAAATTGATTCAGACTACCATCAGCTTTCGCCTTATATGTATGTATGTTGTGATAATGAGCTTGCTCTAGAACGATAATGATAAGAGAGAGGAGGACTCACGTGGGTAGCTCTTGTTTCCTCCTGCTAATAATTATTGCTTCATTTGAACCCTATCTCTTCCATCTGAATGCCGAACAGTGAAAGAGAAATAGAAGGCAATGTGTTTGAACATTAAAAAAAGAGGAAAGAAAATTAAGAGAAGTGGTAGATGGCAACTCTCCTGGCAGGTGGGGGATGACAGATGACAAAAAGCAAGATTGCCAAGAACAAAAGCAGCAGCATTTGTGTGAAGATTTGAAGATCATTGGAATCAAAACAGCATCTAAGCTCCATTCCTTCAGCACTGACTCAAAAAGAAGAAGCAAAAAAAAAAAAAAAAAAAAAAAAAAGGGAAAAAGAATAATTGAGTTGTTAAAATACCATATCCACACAAATAACGTCTGGCAGTGAGTGATGAATAATGATGGTACTGTATTATGCTTCAATACCCACGCAATTTTATGTTCCAACGAAAATATTATTATTATTATTTTGGGTCTGCTTAAAACATCTTCTTCACATATTTACTAAATAAGCCAGTTATCCAACTTCTAGTTACATATATAAATATATAATTGAGGCTTTTTAAAACTTGTAGACTTTTTTTATATATGAGGAATCTTGTTTTTAGATTAATTTTTGAATTAAACAAGTGTCACTGGTCGATTGCAGAGGGTTTCTACCAAATCAAAGTGGTCATAAATTAGGATAGAAAATTGTAGAGAGTTATAGATTCTGGAAACTTATAAAAATTGAATCATAACAGCATGTCATTTGGTTAAAAATTAAATATTGTTCAAATAATATTTGGAGTTGAAGGCATTGTTGACTTTTTCATGAATTGCTTCGGAATTGACTTAATAAATAAAAATAATAAGCAAACCAACCAACCAAAAAAAAAAAAAAAAAAAAAGAAAAGGAGAGAAATTCTTGTGAATATAGAGAATTGGTGGTCCCACAAACATTCATTGATTTTATTATGTTTAAATGTCAAATTGGAAAAGTTTAATAAGCCCACTAAATATTACTTAAAAAAATGTAAAAGACCAAAGAGAAATGTTACATGATTTTCTGCTTGATTGGCGTAAGCGACTCCCTCGTACTCATAGCCTTTGATATTTCAACCCCTATATCAACATATTCACCTGCCGTACTTTTCTTCTTCTTCTTCTTTCTTTTTTTTTTTTTGGTTACAATCGCCCTAATGCCAAATCTACTATTTGCAATTTAACACATAAACTAATATTTAAATATAATACATTAGCAAAACTAGTATTTAGGCCATCACTAATATCTTTCACTT